GCCTGAGCCATCTGCTCCGCCTTGGCCCTCCGGATCCTCCCCGTCACCCTGGCTCATTGGCTCTCCGTCTCCGCCTCGGCATCCTCCACCATGGCTACTCGCTCCATTGGCTCCACCGTGGGTCGCCTTCATGGCTGTAGCCTGGGTCCCGCCTGGCTGCGCCTGCTCCAAGTCCCTCCTGTCTCCTCCCATCATCTGGTCCGCCCTGGACTCTGTTTGCCGTCCTCCTCCCAGGTGTCCGTCCTCCACCCGAATTTCCTCCTGAGTTCCCCTCCGTCCCTCCCTTTGTTGTTGCTGCGGCGTGAGGATGCGCTGTCCGGGAGGGGGGCGAACTGTCATGCCCCTGGACTGTCTGTGTGTGTTTTCCTCCCTATCGCTTTATGTATCCCCCAATTGTAAGTCGCTTTGGATAAAAGCGTCTGCTAAATGACTAAATGTAAATGTAAAATGTGATCCCTGTGACCTAGGTTCTCCCTCGTGATGATTGTGTTCATTGATTTCAGGTGTCTTGTCATTAGTCCCTCATCATCCTGTGTATTTAAGCCCCAGTCTGTTCAGTCTGTGTTTGTCAGATTTAATCATCGTGTTCGTGTGTCACCAGCCATTTGTAAAGTGGATTATCCCTTGTGTTTGGAGTTATTAAAGACTGTTGCTTTGATCCACGTATCCGCATCATTTCCTCCATTTCCTTTAAATATCATTAAAAAATAATGTCAAAAAGTAAATCAGTACTATTGTTGCTCATAATCAGCAGTAGTGACTGTAACAACGTTCGTAGATCGGGAAGAAGGAGGCGGGAACCAGCGAATAATTAAATATAAAACTTTAATAAACAAATGAACAAACATGATAGTAAAAGCGGCAGCCCCTCACGGATGACTTCCGCATAAAACAACAACATAAATAGTCCAGGCCTGGTTCTCTCACATCCAGCACTGTCGTCGCTCCTCCGTGGGACTCGAGACTAGTGAGTGGCGCAGGTGTCTCTCATTATCATAAACTCCACCGGCCTCACTCCATTCCCATGGCTCTCGGACCCGCCTCACTCATCACATACCCCCAACGATCCTCGCAGGCTGGGGGGTAACCACGAGACTGCGCTCAACTCCCCCCCGGTGGCCCCATCACGGCAGCCACAGCACCTGGGGGTAAGGACAGACAAAGTGAGAGAAAAGGAGACGGAAGGATGAGGAGAGACGGACACGAAAAAGAAAAAAAATTCTCGGTCCAGTTCCCGTACACACTGCCGCTTGGTCCTCAATCAGCTGAGAGGCTCTCACTCGCGATACCATGCGATGGTACTGGACATCTTTGGACGGTTATGGCTCCTCCTGTTGAGGGCAGCCGGCAGTGAGTCCCCCGTTCCCTGCTCCTCCCCAAAAATGGCGGACGGCAGCAGGCTCTAGCCTCTTGGTGAATGGCGCCCTCCGTCCCACCTCGTCTTCCATCGTTCCAGCACCACCACCTCGGGCAGCCACCGGCGGTCTCTGCTCCTTCATACTGCCCGACCTCCTCAGCACCGCGATCCCCCTCAGCAGCGAGGGCTCTCTGACAGCGTGTCCCTCCTTCCTCCCAGGTTTAGGCACCAATGTAACAACGTTTGTAGATCGGGAAGAAGGAGGCGGGAACCGGCGAATATTTAAATATAAAACTTTAATAAACAATTGAACAAACACAAAATGAAAGTAAAAGCGGCAGCCCCTCGTGGACGACTGCTGCACACAACAACAACATAAATAGCACAGGCCTGGTCCTCTCTCGTCTTGCACTGTCGTCACTCCTCCTTTTATCCTTCTGGAGCTCCTCCATGGGACTCGAGATCGGTGAGTGGCGCAGGTGTCGCTCATTATCATTAACTCCACCGGCCTCGCTCCGTTCCCATGGCTCTTGGACCCACCCCACTCGTCACAGTGACGTTGTCAATTGCTGGAAATAGAGTCATCTGTGTCCATTTCCGTCACACGCTTGAGGTATTCGGCCAATCACAACGCACTGGATAGCTGGCCAATCACAGCACACCTCGCTTTTCAGAATGACGAGCTTTGTAAAAATTGACGCGTTTCAGAAAGGCAGGGCATAGAGGAGAAACAATAATGTACAGTATGTGGAAAATAATGTGTTTTTTTAACCTTAAACCACAAAAACACATTGCATTACACCAAATAATGTTATTTTTAGCAACATCATATGAACCCTTTAATGTTCAGTCACTCCTCTATCTATGTGCCAATTTTCACAACTTTCAACCAAATGGTTCTATGAACTGCCATAGATTTCCTTTCAAAAATAATAATAATAAGAAAAATGTAGCTGAAAAGCATCAGTTCGGGGCCAAAGCACTGCAAGCCCATCAAATACAGCTCGTGACTGCAGGTTTAACTTGCATTTAATTTGCCTCTAAAATGTGGGGTTTTGTAATGTAAATGTATTCTGTAACACAGAGGAGGAGCCTGAGAATCTGACAGATACAAAGAGTGTTTGTGTCAGACTTGACACAAACGGTGAGTTCTTGCTTTATTCTTCATTTACAACACAGATAAAAAAAAACAATCTCTGCTGAGATCATCTGATTAGAGACCGAGGAGATGGCAGTAAGTTTATCAATAACTCTACATAACTGGAGGTGGCTTTAGCTTTCTTTTAGTGTGATGTTCATCTTTTTCTCTCTCTGTCTCTGTAGATGTTGGTGTTTTTAGCGGCTCTTCTCTCTGCTGTTCTGATGAGCGAATGCCGTCAGAGTGTAAAAAAGCCGGTCGACTGTACTGACCTTTATAAATCAGGACAAACAGTCAGTAAGACTTACTCCATCTATCCAGCAGGTAACGCTCCGATCTGGGTTTACTGTGAGATGATCTCAAATAGGAAAATTCCATACAAAGGAGGATGGACGGTATGAATGTGACTTTAGATCATTAAACACACACCAGCACATTCATTATGAATCATATATTCTCTATAAACCCATCACAGGTGATTCAGAGGAGAATGGACGGCAGTGTGAATTTCTATCGGCCGTGGAATCAGTACAAGAGAGGATTTGGGAAAAAAAGCCGGTCGACTGTACTGACCTTTATAAATCAGGACAAACAGTCAGTAAGACTTACTCCATCTATCCAGCAGGTAACGCTCCGATCTGGGTTTACTGTGAGATGATCTCAAATAGGAAAATTCCATACAAAGGAGGATGGACGGTATGAATGTGACTTTAGATCATTAAACACACACCAGCACATTCATTATGAATCATATATTCTCTATAAACCCATCACAGGTGATTCAGAGGAGAATGGACGGCAGTGTGAATTTCTATCGGCCGTGGAATCAGTACAAGAGAGGATTTGGGAATGTGGAGGGAGAATACTGGCTGGGTAAGATCTCACAGCGTGTGTCCGTTCACAAGTTCACACTTACATATAATAAATAGAGTAAAGGTTCTGTGTATTTGGCGTGCTGTCTGAGGGGAGGGCTCCGAGCTCAGAATTTGGCCCGAACCCAGAGTCCAGAGTACCCCCCCCCCCCCCCCCACTGGGTTGAGATAGGAATAGTTAGAAGTGAGATGGGATGGTGGAGGGATGCTAGAAAACTGTCAAGGAACAGAGGTAAGTCTGCTGTGTATATATATATATCTTATCTTGTTAATTGAGTTGATTACTGAATGTGCTCCAGGGCTCTACGCTTATTTTTCTTTTTAGGAGTGCCAAAATTTGATAAATAAAAATGCCATTACGAGGTGATATTTGGCTCCTTAAAGTGATTTACAATAGAATTTTGTTTTTACCTCTGTACTGGCATTTTTCTATCTTTATTAAAAGTATGTCATCTTTTATGTCAAATTTTTAAAAAATTATATTTTATAAGCTTTTTAAAAATTCTAGATAAAACCATAGAATAAGAACAAGTAGAATAAGAAGAATAAGTTACTAATCAAATGAAATCAGTATTAAAATTAATTTGTACAGAGGTAGCACAGAAGAACACAAAAGTGGCTTGTAGGTGTATTTTCAGACATTTAATGAGGATCAGAGGTGGCATGAGTGCAATTAAATCCATTAAAAAATGTTGAATATAGAAATATTAAATGATTAGGACTATGTCTGTGATACATTACTCAACGCTGCAAAAACACGCAGGAACCTTTGAAGCTCCCCTCAGCGATCACAATCCCAAATATGATGAAGATCTGGTCAGTCGCACTGGTGCTCCTAAATATTTTTCCATAGTCGCACGCAGTAGTTTTCAGTCGCAAATGCGCAAAAGCCCTGTGCAACTCCTCTCGTGTTAATTATCTGAACGTGCTCCTCCCGAACTTTAATAAAACATAATTTTGTGTGGATGTTCATGTCCAGTGTTTGGTTGAAGGTGTTCTTCATGTGTGTGTATGATCAGGGCTGGAGAACATCTACCAGCTGACACGTAACAACAAGTACATGCTGAGAGTGGATCTGGAGGACTTTGGAGGAAATAAAGTGTTCGCTCTGTACTCGTCCTTCTCTGTGGGTCCTGAAGCTGACGAGTATAAACTAAAAGTTTCTGGATTCACTGATGGAGGAGCAGGTAGGACGCTTTCATTTATACTCAAGAAAGCACATTTCCATTGAGTTATTGTCCTTAGTGACCCTCTTCTTCTCTGCAGGCGACTCTTTATCTGGCCATAATGGATACAAGTTCTCCACCTTCGACAAAGACCAAGATGTCTATGAAAATAACTGTGCCAAACTGTATCTCGGGGGATTTTGGTACTCAGCCTGTCACAATACAAACCCCAACGGTATATATTTATGGGGAGAAGATGGCACCCATTACGCCATTGGAAATGTTTGGTCATCATGGAAGGGTTACGCTGTCGGAATGAAATCCATCAGCATGAAGATCAAACGTGTGCCTTAGAAACATTACAGTTCTTCTCGGAAATAAACAACAAAACAATCAATTTAATGTTGAATTGTTTCCTCCCCCCCCCCCCCCCCCACTGGGTTGAGATAGGAATAGTTAGAAGTGAGATGGGATGGTGGAGGGATGCTAGAAAACTGTCAAGGAACAGAGGTAAGTCTGCTGTGTATATATATATATCTTATCTTGTTAATTGAGTTGATTACTGAATGTGCTCCAGGGCTCTACGCTTATTTTTCTTTTTAGGAGTGCCAAAATTTGATAAATAAAAATGCCATTACGAGGTGATATTTGGCTCCTTAAAGTGATTTACAATAGAATTTTGTTTTTACCTCTGTACTGGCATTTTTCTATCTTTATTAAAAGTATGTCATCTTTTATGTCAAATTTTTAAAAAATTATATTTTATAAGCTTTTTAAAAATTCTAGATAAAACCATAGAATAAGAACAAGTAGAATAAGAAGAATAAGTTACTAATCAAATGAAATCAGTATTAAAATTAATTTGTACAGAGGTAGCACAGAAGAACACAAAAGTGGCTTGTAGGTGTATTTTCAGACATTTAATGAGGATCAGAGGTGGCATGAGTGCAATTAAATCCATTAAAAAATGTTGAATATAGAAATATTAAATGATTAGGACTATGTCTGTGATACATTACTCAACGCTGCAAAAACACGCAGGAACCTTTGAAGCTCCCCTCAGCGATCACAATCCCAAATATGATGAAGATCTGGTCAGTCGCACTGGTGCTCCTAAATATTTTTCCATAGTCGCACGCAGTAGTTTTCAGTCGCAAATGCGCAAAAGCCCTGTGCAACTCCTCTCGTGTTAATTATCTGAACGTGCTCCTCCCGAACTTTAATAAAACATAATTTTGTGTGGATGTTCATGTCCAGTGTTTGGTTGAAGGTGTTCTTCATGTGTGTGTATGATCAGGGCTGGAGAACATCTACCAGCTGACACGTAACAACAAGTACATGCTGAGAGTGGATCTGGAGGACTTTGGAGGAAATAAAGTGTTCGCTCTGTACTCGTCCTTCTCTGTGGGTCCTGAAGCTGACGAGTATAAACTAAAAGTTTCTGGATTCACTGATGGAGGAGCAGGTAGGACGCTTTCATTTATACTCAAGAAAGCACATTTCCATTGAGTTATTGTCCTTAGTGACCCTCTTCTTCTCTGCAGGCGACTCTTTATCTGGCCATAATGGATACAAGTTCTCCACCTTCGACAAAGACCAAGATGTCTATGAAAATAACTGTGCCAAACTGTATCTCGGGGGATTTTGGTACTCAGCCTGTCACAATACAAACCCCAACGGTATATATTTATGGGGAGAAGATGGCACCCATTACGCCATTGGAAATGTTTGGTCATCATGGAAGGGTTACGCTGTCGGAATGAAATCCATCAGCATGAAGATCAAACGTGTGCCTTAGAAACATTACAGTTCTTCTCGGAAATAAACAACAAAACAATCAATTTAATGTTGAATTGTTTCCTGTTTTCTAATAACTGTGTAACTTAGTAAATCACGTAGGAAAATAACTATCATAATCTTATGACTGTTTATGAACTATTCTTTGTTTTTGGTCAAAATCATACAATTAGAATAAACTCCTGCACTGAAATCATTATGTCAGATGTGTTTATCTCCACAACAGACACCAGAAACACTAAATGAGAAATTCAATGGAACCAGAGCTGCTGACAAACCAATAATAAAAGGAGCATTAAAAACTCAGAAAGTGTTCTTATTACCCTCATAGACATTACACACACAGATCGACCCAAAATGCATTTGACATTCTGTTGATAACTCCAGTTGTGTTCCATGGGATAATGCATCATAACCTCACATAAAATAATACATGCAATTATTCCAATTTGCTTACTGCATGTTTCACTGACTGAAGAACTAGCTCACGACATTAGGCCCATTTATATGCTTTTGAATTATGAATCGAAACAAGACAGGAGTGTTTGGCTTCTGAGTTACTCACACATTGCATATACACAGTGTAGAGCCCGATGCTGAATGCTTTGCAAAGGATAAATATTGTAAACGCCTCCCACTATATAATCGACTGTTGTATCAGATTTGCTTTTGCCACAATTCGAGGTGAAGACTTCTCCCTGTTTACTTTTGATTTTATTACTTATGAGTTATTGTTTTTAATAAAGCGAAACCATTTCCAATGGTGATGCGTTAAACTTCTTTTAAACAAGTCTCTGAGTATTTTATTGAGAGTAACCTATTATCTGAACTTGAATATAAATCTCCTGTGGAAGTCCCATAGCAGCACGGACACCGGGTGGGAAATCTTGAAACTTCTACATCTCCCGATACACGAGGTAAGGGCGTATTTCTTCATTGCTACGGCTTGTGGGAAACAAAGATGTGAGTTAGAAGATTTATGAATTCCTTAATCGGTCTAGAAACATAACAATAGTGATGAATCAACTTTGTACCGCAAAGATAAACTTTATCTCTGTGTTTGGAAGAGACATTTTGGATTCAAATGAGTGAAATTTGCAGCATTGATCATATTTTATGCACAAAAATCGTCAAATTTAATTATCGAATATTCTGAGTGGATGCACTTCTGACACAACCTGGTCAGGAGCCTGGTAATGTTTAAAGACCAGCTGTGGCGCAATCCTGTGGATATCAGACGACACACATCAGCAAACAGCATGCATGTATTTGTGTATATACAGTGGGTATAGAAAAAAAATCAGCCCCGTTTAAAATAATCACATTTTGTTGCTTTGCAGCCTGAAATGAAGACGGACACAGTTTTTGTTTTATCCAGCTGTATGTACTCAGTGCAACTTATAACATCCAAGTGAAAGATAAAACGCCAACATGTCAGAAAAACGAAAGAAAAAAAACAGATTCACTGAGTTGGAAAAAGGATCAGCCCCCTCCTAAAAATGACTGGTGAAATCAAACAGGTGCAGCTGATCACCTTCTCAGTGGCACACAAATCCATTTGACTTTCAGCTGTGCTCATTTTGATCAGCTCAGCATGAAAAGAGTGTTCCTGGAGCATTTCAGTCCTTGCTAGAGCAACTGAAGCAAACAATCAGCTATGGGTGGCAAGACACTGTCAGAAGATCTCCGGGATAAAGTTGTGAACATGCACAAGTCAGGAGATGGAGACAAAAACATTTCAAAGGCTTCATCAATGCCTAGATGCACAGTGAAGTATATTATTAAGAAGTGGAAGGTATTTGGTAAAACACAGACCCTCCCTGGATCGGGACGTCGCTCCAAACTGATAAAAGAGCCGGAGGAAACTGATCAGAGAGGCGACAGCTGCAGGAGTTTATGACAAAGAGTGGTCATTGTGTGACAACAATATCACAGATTCTCCACTAATGTGGCTTGTATGGGAGGGCTGAAGAAAAAAAGCCACTCCTCAAGAAAGGCCACATGCAGTCAGACAGAGCTTTGCCAAAACACACCTTGAAGATTCTGAGACAGATGAGACTAAAACTGAATTATCTGGCCTTGACACCAAACGATATGTCTGGCGGAAATCCAATCCAGCTCAGCATCCAGATAACAGCATTCCTGCAGTAAAGCATGGAGGTGCTGATGTCCTGTTGTGTAAAGCATGTATGTAATTTGGATGCATACTATGACTAACCAAAATATATCAATTGTGCAGTATACCGGCTGAAAGCTGGACATTCTTACATTATTAAAACTGGCACGTCACTGTAAACAAATTTCTCTTAAATCAAAAATCATGAGAAATTATGAGAATCTAAAAGTATGTCAAACTGCTTGCAGTGTGGGTTTCACATATTTCTGCCCATGGAGAGTGAGATTTACACATCCACTGTGATTGTGTGTCTTTCTCTTCGGACCATTCATCATCACCTCAGACTGAATCAGAAAACACAGCAGCGGCACGCTTTCTGTTCATGCCTCGTATATCTATTCCCACTGAAGAGAATCGACTCAACCGTTTACAGCAGTGCACATGTACAACTACGGTTCACGGTTCAGACACAATTCTAGTCTAGTCAAAGTCTAGTTTAAGAATTTATAGAATAATTCATTTAAAGTAGGAGTTTATTGAAGGTTTATGAAGTGACAATTCATCTAAATATGGATTAAGTTGGTTTTAATGTGCTACACGAGCAGCTATACACGTAGATGAGAAATATTCAACACATTCACACAGTTACACAGCTAAGAGGGGAAATATTGTTGTTAAGCTCTTGAATAATCAGGAAAAATTTCCCCTTCAGGAGTACTGTATTGTTTCTAAGAAACATATTTGATCTTCATGCTGATTGATTTCATACTGACTGCGTAATTCTTCCATGCTGACCAAACAACACCAATGGCATGATGGGTGGGATCTTCGCCCCATAAATACGCACCGTTGGGGTTTGCATAGTGACAGGCTGCGTACCAAAATGCCCCGAGATACAGTTTGGCACAGTTCTTTTCATAGGAGTCTTGGTCTTTGTCGAAGGTGGAGAACTTCTGATCATTATGGCCAGATAAAGAGTCGCCTGCAGAGAAGAAGAGGGTCACTGAGGACAGTAACCCAATGGAAATGAGTTTTCTTGAGTATAAATGAAAGCGTCCTACCTGCTCCTCCATCAGTGAATCCAGAAACATGCAGCTGATAACCAGCACATTCACAACCCACAGAGAAGGATGAGTACAGAGCGAAACCTTTCCTTCCTTCAAAGTCCTCCAGATCCACTCTCAGCATGTACTTGTTGTTACGTGTCAGCTGGTACATGTTCTCCAGCCCTGATCATACACACACATGAAGAACACCTTCAACCATGGCTCTGCTTTACAGTTTCAAACTAAACTAAAAAATCTGGGGGTGATATTTGACGCCAACTTAACATTTGATCCGCATCTTCGTAATACAGTCAAAACATATTTTTTTAATCTCAGAAACATTGCCAAATTATGTCCCATGTTGACTTTTTCTGTGGCTGAAAATGTAATCAACACTTCAGTTTTTTCGCATATTGATTATTGTAATGCTTTGCTGGCTGGAGTTTCTAAAGCTACCCTAAGTAAATTACAGTTGGTACAAAATTCAGCTGCTAGAATTCTGACTAGAACCCGTGCAAGGGAGCACATCACATCTATCTTGGAAAAATTGCACTGGCTTCCTGTTAGTTTTCGTATTGATTTTAAAATTCTCATGCTCACTTATAAGGCCTTGAATAATTTGGCTCCTCAATATTTGTGCAAGATTTTAACCCCCTACACCCCTACACGTGCGCTACGCTCTTCTGAAGCTGGTCTTTTAACTGTTCAAACTACTCGGCTAAAAACCATGGGTGATTGGGCTTTCTCTTCTTTGGCTCCTAAATTGTGGAATTCCCTGCCCTCTGAGATTAGGAATGCAGAATCCCTTAGTGTTTCTAAATCGTCCCTTAAAACGTACTTTTTTAGGGTAGCTTTTATGTGATTACTTTGTCTTTTATTATATTGGCTTTGTATTGATTGGTTAGTTCTTTACTGCCTGTACTGTTGTGTGTATCTTTTAACTTCATATTTTTATATGTAAAGCGCTTTGAGATGCTACTTTTAAAGGCGCTATATAAAATAAAGTTTATTATTATTATTATTCATGTCTCTTAAAGTGAAGGGACTATTGGCACAGAAGCACAAGGATGGACTCGGTAAGCGGTGTGACCATTTCAGTGCTCAAGTACAGGGTCTGTACAGTTCATGCCTGGAATATCTGGAGAAGTTCTCCTCTTTCATGTGGATGGATCTGAGTGACACACCTGACTGGAATGACATTGAGGCCTGTATCAAATACCTGGGAGAAAAGGGGGTGCCAATTGATGATGCAAAGTGCTTTGATCAAGTCACCAACCTGAAGAAATTCACAGAAAGGTGTAACAGTGATGGAGATTTCAGTGATCTGCAAGCACACAAGAAGCGGACCAAATATTTTGAAAGGTCCAAAAGAGCTACTGAAGATTGCAGTTTTTCTTTGCTATTCCTTCTCACAATGCAAATGCAGAGTTTTTTTCACTGATGCAAAGCCAGTGGACAAAGGAAAGGAATCACTTGTCTGTTGAGTCACTGAAGGGGGTTCTGTGCATACAATACAACTTTAAACACATGTCTTGCAAAGACTTTTATTACTATTTGATTGGTAATCAAGGACTGTTGGGAAAGATTCGATTCTCTGGAAAGTATACCAGAGAACATCAGGGGACATAATTTATTTTTGACTGAAATAGTGGAATGTTTTTTGTTGTTGTTTTTTTTTTTTATGCAACTGGCCATGAAAAGAAATAGTGTCATGTAACAGATGTTAAAAGCTAAACAATTTTTTTTATTTGTTTGTTGTTATTCTATCGTTGAGGACCAAAAGTTGAATGGAAAGGATGTGTTACTTTGTATTAAAGTTCAATAACATAGTTGCATGGTTGTGAACGCATTTGTCAAGTATTTAGGCCCCCCTTCCACCCACTGCAGGTTTCCATCTGCCTCCTGTCCCCACTGTCCTCTTTTTGGAAAACTAAAATATGGTCACCCTAATTGTAATGCATTATTGGGTGTTGCTCTGCTAATTACTTATAAAGCCCTGAATGGTTTAGCTCCTCAGTACTTGAGCGAGCTCATATCGCATTATAGTCCTTCACATCCGCTGCGATATCAAAATTCTGGCAATTTGATAATACCTAGAATATCAAAATCAACTGCAGGCAGCAGATCCTTTTCCTATTTAGTGCCCAAACTCTGGAAAAGCCTACCTAATATTGCTCGGGAGGCAGACACACTCTGTCAGTTTAAATCTAGATTAAAGACCCATCTCTTTAACCTGGCTTACACATAACGTAGTGATGAATCAACTTTGTACCGCAAAGATAAACTTTATCTCTGTGTTTGGAAGAGACATTTTGGATTCAAATGAGTGAAATTTGCAGCATTGATCATATTTTATGCACAAAAATCGTCAAATTTAATTATCGAATATTCTGAGTGGATGCACTTCTGACACAACCTGGTCAGGAGCCTGGTAATGTTTAAAGACCAGCTGTGGCGCAATCCTGTGGATATCAGACGACACACATCAGCAAACAGCATGCATGTATTTGTGTATATACAGTGGGTATAGAAAAAAAATCAGCCCCGTTTAAAATAATCACATTTTGTTGCTTTGCAGCCTGAAATGAAGACGGACACAGTTTTTGTTTTATCCAGCTGTATGTACTCAGTGCAACTTATAACATCCAAGTGAAAGATAAAACGCCAACATGTCAGAAAAACGAAAGAAAAAAAACAGATTCACTGAGTTGGAAAAAGGATCAGCCCCCTCCTAAAAATGACTGGTGAAATCAAACAGGTGCAGCTGATCACCTTCTCAGTGGCACACAAATCCATTTGACTTTCAGCTGTGCTCATTTTGATCAGCTCAGCATGAAAAGAGTGTTCCTGGAGCATTTCAGTCCTTGCTAGAGCAACTGAAGCAAACAATCAGCTATGGGTGGCAAGACACTGTCAGAAGATCTCCGGGATAAAGTTGTGAACATGCACAAGTCAGGAGATGGAGACAAAAACATTTCAAAGGCTTCATCAATGCCTAGATGCACAGTGAAGTATATTATTAAGAAGTGGAAGGTATTTGGTAAAACACAGACCCTCCCTGGATCGGGACGTCGCTCCAAACTGATAAAAGAGCCGGAGGAAACTGATCAGAGAGGCGACAGCTGCAGGAGTTTATGACAAAGAGTGGTCATTGTGTGACAACAATATCACAGATTCTCCACTAATGTGGCTTGTATGGGAGGGCTGAAGAAAAAAAGCCACTCCTCAAGAAAGGCCACATGCAGTCAGACAGAGCTTTGCCAAAACACACCTTGAAGATTCTGAGACAGATGAGACTAAAACTGAATTATCTGGCCTTGACACCAAACGATATGTCTGGCGGAAATCCAATCCAGCTCAGCATCCAGATAACAGCATTCCTGCAGTAAAGCATGGAGGTGCTGATGTCCTGTTGTGTAAAGCATGTATGTAATTTGGATGCATACTATGACTAACCAAAATATATCAATTGTGCAGTATACCGGCTGAAAGCTGGACATTCTTACATTATTAAAACTGGCACGTCACTGTAAACAAATTTCTCTTAAATCAAAAATCATGAGAAATTATGAGAATCTAAAAGTATGTCAAACTGCTTGCAGTGTGGGTTTCACATATTTCTGCCCATGGAGAGTGAGATTTACACATCCACTGTGATTGTGTGTCTTTCTCTTCGGACCATTCATCATCACCTCAGACTGAATCAGAAAACACAGCAGCGGCACGCTTTCTGTTCATGCCTCGTATATCTATTCCCACTGAAGAGAATCGACTCAACCGTTTACAGCAGTGCACATGTACAACTACGGTTCACGGTTCAGACACAATTCTAGTCTAGTCAAAGTCTAGTTTAAGAATTTATAGAATAATTCATTTAAAGTAGGAGTTTATTGAAGGTTTATGAAGTGACAATTCATCTAAATATGGATTAAGTTGGTTTTAATGTGCTACACGAGCAGCTATACACGTAGATGAGAAATATTCAACACATTCACACAGTTACACAGCTAAGAGGGGAAATATTGTTGTTAAGCTCTTGAATAATCAGGAAAAATTTCCCCTTCAGGAGTACTGTATTGTTTCTAAGAAACATATTTGATCTTCATGCTGATTGATTTCATACTGACTGCGTAATTCTTCCATGCTGACCAAACAACACCAATGGCATGATGGGTGGGATCTTCGCCCCATAAATACGCACCGTTGGGGTTTGCATAGTGACAGGCTGCGTACCAAAATGCCCCGAGATACAGTTTGGCACAGTTCTTTTCATAGGAGTCTTGGTCTTTGTCGAAGGTGGAGAACTTCTGATCATTATGGCCAGATAAAGAGTCGCCTGCAGAGAAGAAGAGGGTCACTGAGGACAGTAACCCAATGGAAATGAGTTTTCTTGAGTATAAATGAAAGCGTCCTACCTGCTCCTCCATCAGTGAATCCAGAAACATGCAGCTGATAACCAGCACATTCACAACCCACAGAGAAGGATGAGTACAGAGCGAAACCTTTCCTTCCTTCAAAGTCCTCCAGATCCACTCTCAGCATGTACTTGTTGTTACGTGTCAGCTGGTACATGTTCTCCAGCCCTGATCATACACACACATGAAGAACACCTTCAACCATGGCTCTGCTTTACAGTTTCAAACTAAACTAAAAAATCTGGGGGTGATATTTGACGCCAACTTAACATTTGATCCGCATCTTCGTAATACAGTCAAAACATATTTTTTTAATCTCAGAAACATTGCCAAATTATGTCCCATGTTGACTTTTTCTGTGGCTGAAAATGTAATCAACACTTCAGTTTTTTCGCATATTGATTATTGTAATGCTTTGCTGGCTGGAGTTTCTAAAGCTACCCTAAGTAAATTACAGTTGGTACAAAATTCAGCTGCTAGAATTCTGACTAGAACCCGTGCAAGGGAGCACATCACATCTATCTTGGAAAAATTGCACTGGCTTCCTGTTAGTTTTCGTATTGATTTTAAAATTCTCATGCTCACTTATAAGGCCTTGAATAATTTGGCTCCTCAATATTTGTGCAAGATTTTAACCCCCTACACCCCTACACGTGCGCTACGCTCTTCTGAAGCTGGTCTTTTAACTGTTCAAACTACTCGGCTAAAAACCATGGGTGATTGGGCTTTCTCTTCTTTGGCTCCTAAATTGTGGAATTCCCTGCCCTCTGAGATTAGGAATGCAGAATCCCTTAGTGTTTCTAAATCGTCCCTTAAAACGTACTTTTTTAGGGTAGCTTTTATGTGATTACTTTGTCTTTTATTATATTGGCTTTGTATTGATTGGTTAGTTCTTTACTGCCTGTACTGTTGTGTGTATCTTTTAACTTCATATTTTTATATGTAAAGCGCTTTGAGATGCTACTTTTAAAGGCGCTATATAAAATAAAGTTTATTATTATTATTATTCATGTCTCTTAAAGTGAAGGGACTATTGGCACAGAAGCACAAGGATGGACTCGGTAAGCGGTGTGACCATTTCAGTGCTCAAGTACAGGGTCTGTACAGTTCATGCCTGGAATATCTGGAGAAGTTCTCCTCTTTCATGTGGATGGATCTGAGTGACACACCTGACTGGAATGACATTGAGGCCTGTATCAAATACCTGGGAGAAAAGGGGGTGCCAATTGATGATGCAAAGTGCTTTGATCAAGTCACCAACCTGAAGAAATTCACAGAAAGGTGTAACAGTGATGGAGATTTCAGTGATCTGCAAGCACACAAGAAGCGGACCAAATATTTTGAAAGGTCCAAAAGAGCTACTGAAGATTGCAGTTTTTCTTTGCTATTCCTTCTCACAATGCAAATGCAGAGTTTTTTTCACTGATGCAAAGCCAGTGGACAAAGGAAAGGAATCACTTGTCTGTTGAGTCACTGAAGGGGGTTCTGTGCATACAATACAACTTTAAACACATGTCTTGCAAAGACTTTTATTACTATTTGATTGGTAATCAAGGACTGTTGGGAAAGATTCGATTCTCTGGAAAGTATACCAGAGAACATCAGGGGACATAATTTATTTTTGACTGAAATAGTGGAATGTTTTTTGTTGTTGTTTTTTTTTTTTATGCAACTGGCCATGAAAAGAAATAGTGTCATGTAACAGATGTTAAAAGCTAAACAATTTTTTTTATTTGTTTGTTGTTATTCTATCGTTGAGGACCAAAAGTTGAATGGAAAGGATGTGTTACTTTGTATTAAAGTTCAATAACATAGTTGCATGGTTGTGAACGCATTTGTCAAGTATTTAGGCCCCCCTTCCACCCACTGCAGGTTTCCATCTGCCTCCTGTCCCCACTGTCCTCTTTTTGGAAAACTAAAATATGGTCACCCTAATTGTAATGCATTATTGGGTGTTGCTCTGCTAATTACTTATAAAGCCCTGAATGGTTTAGCTCCTCAGTACTTGAGCGAGCTCATATCGCATTATAGTCCTTCACATCCGCTGCGATATCAAAATTCTGGCAATTTGATAATACCTAGAATATCAAAATCAACTGCAGGCAGCAGATCCTTTTCCTATTTAGTGCCCAAACTCTGGAAAAGCCTACCTAATATTGCTCGGGAGGCAGACACACTCTGTCAGTTTAAATCTAGATTAAAGACCCATCTCTTTAACCTGGCTTACACATAACGCATTTCTAGAATTCAAATCCGTGAAAGGATTGTTATGTATTCGACAATGCATATTTGGTTATGAAAATATTAATTGCTGTTTGAAAATATATACATTTTTTTTGTGAATGAAAATGATTATAATTTACGTTGAACAGCAACAAAAATATTATCAAAAAAGTATATCAGCTGTTATTGCTCATAAATAGCTGTAGCGATGTTGTCAAGCTGTTAAGAGATGGTAGGTTTAGGGATCAGGGGGTGGAGATGGGAGGGTTTAGGGATCAGGGGGTGGAGATGGTCGGTTTAGGGATCAGGGGGGGGAGATGGTAGGTTTAGGGATCAGGGGGGGGAGATGGGAGGGTTTAGGGATCAGGGGGTGGAGATGGTCGGTTTAGGGATCAGGGGGGGGAGATGGTAGGTTTAGGGATCAGGGGGGGGAGATGGGAGGGTTTAGGGATCAGGGGGTGGAGATGGTCGGTTTAGGGATCAGGGGGGGGAGATGGTAGGTTTAGGGATCAGGGGGGGGAGATGGGAGGGTTTAGGGATCAGGGGGTGGAGATGGTCGGTTTAGGGATCAGGGGGGGGAGATGGTAGGTTTAGGGATCAGGGGGGGGAGATGGGAGGGTTTAGGGATCAGGGGGTGGAGATGGTCGGTTTAGGGATCAGGGGGGGGAGATGGTAGGTTTAGGGATCAGGGGGGGGAGATGGGAGGGTTTAGGGATCAGGGGGTGGAGATGGTCGGTTTAGGGATCAGGGGGGGGAGATGGTAGGTTTAGGGATCAGGGGGGGGAGATGGGAGGGTTTAGGGATCAGGGGGTGGAGATGGTCGGTTTAGGGATCAGGGGGGGGAGATGGTAGGTTTAGGGATCAGGGGGGGGAGATGGGAGGGTTTAGGGATCAGGGGGTGGAGATGGTCGGTTTAGGGATCAGGGGGGGGAGATGGTAGGTTTAGGGATCAGGGGGGGGAGATGGGAGGGTTTAGGGATCAGGGGGTGGAGATGGTCGGTTTAGGGATCAGGGGGGGGAGATGGTAGGTTTAGGGATCAGGGGGGGGAGATGGGAGGGTTTAGGGATCAGGGGGTGGAGATGGTCGGTTTAGGGATCAGGGGGGGGAGATGGTAGGTTTAGGGATCAGGGGGGGGAGATGGGAGGGTTTAGGGATCAGGGGGTGGAGATGGTCGGTTTAGGGATCAGGGGGGGGAGATGGTAGGTTTAGGGATCAGGGGGGGGAGATGGGAGGGTTTAGGGATCAGGGGGTGGAGATGGTCGGTTTAGGGATCAGGGGGGGGAGATGGTAGGTTTAGGGATCAGGGGGGGGAGATGGGAGGGTTTAGGGATCAGGGGGTGGAGATGGTCGGTTTAGGGATCAGGGGGGGGAGATGGTAGGTTTAGGGATCAGGGGGGGGAGATGGGAGGGTTTAGGGATCAGGGGGTGGAGATGGTCGGTTTAGGGATCAGGGGGGGGAGATGGTAGGTTTAGGGATCAGGGGGGGGAGATGGGAGGGTTTAGGGATCAGGGGGTGGAGATGGTCGGTTTAGGGATCAGGGGGGGGAGATGGTAGGTTTAGGGATCAGGGGGGGGAGATGGGAGGGTTTAGGGATCAGGGGGTGGAGATGGTCGGTTTAGGGATCAGGGGGGGGAGATGGTAGGTTTAGGGATCAGGGGGGGGAGATGGGAGGGTTTAGGGATCAGGGGGTGGAGATGGTCGGTTTAGGGATCAGGGGGGGGAGATGGTAGGTTTAGGGATCAGGGGGGGGAGATGGGAGGGTTTAGGGATCAGGGGGTGGAGATGGTCGGTTTAGGGATCAGGGGGGGGAGATGGTAGGTTTAGGGATCAGGGGGGGGAGATGGGAGGGTTTAGGGATCAGGGGGTGGAGATGGTCGGTTTAGGGATCAGGGGGGGGAGATGGTAGGTTTAGGGATCAGGGGGTGGAGATGGTGGGTTTAGGGATCAGGGAGTGGAGATGGTAGGTTTAGGGATCAGGGGGTGGAGATGGGTGGGTGGGTTCAGGGATGAGGGGGTGGAGACGGGTTGGTTTAGGTACATGTAAGGTGGGAGGAGTTGGATCTGGTTCCAACCACGCCCCCTGGATCTTGGGTTCTGCAGTGAGGAACATCTCACTCTTCTTCAACCTCAGAAGAGAAACTCAGGTCCCTTAAGCCATCTCTTACATGTTATGAATTGCCCAACATCTGTCGAGTCTCTTATTACGACGACTGTTTTTTCTACATGGTGTGGAACTGCTTCCTTTACATTTTGGATATGTCTCAGTACAGTCATGCGGAGTTAAAATTTATTTTTTTTGATGAATCCAAATTAATCTCCAAACCCTTTTTAAGCATTCTATCCACTCAAACAGCAAGAACAGATTCAAGTTGTAACCTTGTGATTGTCGTTTGCTTTAATGTGATCATCTTCGGTTCTGCTCAACTCACGAAAATATAATTTCGGATTTACCATACATTTCAAAGACAGATTTCAACATGATTCTTTTACGCAGAAAAAAAGGAATAAAAACCTTAAGATGTCATAAAATGAGGTAAAAATGTTTTTCTTTCAGAAGCACTGTAATATTTCTATGACACACGTTTGATCTTCATGCTGATGGATTTCATACTGACTGCGTAATTCTTCCATGTTGCCCAAACAACACCAATGGCATGATGGGTGGGATCTTCGCCCCATAAATACACACCGTTGGGGTTTGTATTGTGACAGGCTAAGTACCAAAATGCCCCGAGATACAGTTTGGCACAGTTCTTTTCATAGGAGTCTTGGTCTTTGTCGAAGGTGGAGAACTTGTATCCATTATGGCCAGATAAAGAGTCGCCTGCAGAGAGGAAGAACTTCACTAAGGAAAGTAACCCAATGGAAATGAGTTTTCTTGAGTATAAATGAAAGCATCCTACCTGCTCCTCCATCAGTGAATCCTGAAACATGCAGCTGATATCCAGCACATTCACAACCCACAGAGAAGGACGAGTACAGAGCGAAACCTTTCCTTCCTTCAAAGTCCTCCAGATCCACTCTCAGCATGTACTTCCTCTTACGTGTCAGCTGGTACATGTTCTCCAGCCCTGATCATACACACACATGAAGAACACCTTCAACCAAACACTGGACGTGAACATCCACACAAACACACACACGCTGTGAGATCTTACCCAGCCAGTATTCTCCCTCCACATTCCCAAATCCTCTCTTGTACTGATTCCACGGCCGATAGAAATTCACACTGCCGTCCATTCTCCTCTGAATCACCTGTGATGGGTGTATAGAGAATATATGATTCATAATGAATGTGCTGATGTGTGTTTAATGATCTAAAGTCGTACCGTCCATCCTCCTTTATCTTCATCTTTCCCGTCTGAGATCATCTGACAGTAAACCCAGACAGGAATGTCTCCTGCTGGATAGATGGAGTAAACCCCACTGACTGTTTCTCCTGCTTTATATACGTCAGAGCAGTCGACCGGTTTGTCTACATCAAGACCACAATCACAGCCCAATAAAACAGGCAGAAGAGCCGTCAAAAACACCATCATCTGCATAAGAAAGAAAAAGATGAACATCACACTGATAAGGTGATAAAAATCTGTAGGAATGTGACAAAATGTAGGAAACAGATGAGCTTAACTCCATCTTCTCAAACTCTTCTCAGCAGAAATCTGTTTCCTTAAAGAGACGAAGGAATTCTTTACTTATACCATTTCATTGTATTAACTGATATAAACTTCTGAATGTCCAGACAGGCTTTAAGGAAAATGCTGGAGAATAAACCAGCAACTCACAGTTGTTGTTCTCCAGTTGTGGAGGGGACAAACGCTCCTTTAAATATCCGACGGTCAGGCTCCTCCTCAGTGTCAAAGTCCGTTTTAAGACATTTGGGTAAACATTCTTTTCGCACATTTAGGAATCATCCAAATTGGGAAAGAACGGAAATTATCTGTACACACAGAATGTTCCTAAATACCGTCCACGTAATCACAGATAATCTTAAAATCATCAACACGACACTAATGATTGTTTTCCAATAACCCATTTACCAGCTCTCCATTAACACTCAAACTAACTATAGATAATAGATTAACAGACTGAATTCAAACCGAAGAGTTCACTCATCACGCTTCCTTTAGTTTCCACACACTCCATTCTAATTTTCCAAATCACTGATTTGGTGACTCACCTTGGTTGTTCTTCTACAGGAGCAAGTTGGAATATTTGGTAGTGATTGTGCAAAATTTCACAACTTTTAAACATTTGATTGCACAAGCTGCTGTATACTCTCGGACAGAAGATCTGCCAAAAACAAACCTAAACAACAACACCACACTACATGCTTTCATTGAGTCATCCCCATTAAAAATGGAATGGGGAGACTAGACGAGGCCCATCATACCAATGTTCATGTCAACCGCATTCCCACGGTTCAGAAGTATCCATGTAGGTTTGATAATCAATGCACTACTGAATAGTTATTTTTTTATTCCATTATGCACCCAGACGTGGGTCTTGTTTCTGGACAATTTAGACACATTCTGGACCAATGCATTTCTGTGACTTTCCAGCTGGATAAGGACTTAAAAGAACGGCACAGAAGAGAGTCTAATAAAGCAATAAGCCGTGGTTTACAGTGAACTTATAACAGCTAAGGGGCGTTGTTAGATACGACGCGAAGCGGAGTCTAAAACCACCGTAGCTGTTATAAATTCACTGTAAACCACGGCTTCACGGGGCTTACTGCTTTTATAAAACAGTTATTCCATATACGTAGTACGGTTTGCAGTGGTTGCCTCTAATTTTAAATGTTAATAGCACAGACAAAGCCTTAGTTTGTTTATATGAAGAGATTTATTTTATTTGTGTTACTTATTTGAGTTGGGGCTTGTTTTAAAATTTCAATGTAGTTTTGTTATTTACATTTACATTAGCCTATATTTAAATGTGGTCATTTAGCAGACGCTTTCATCCAAAGTGACTTACAAATGAGGACAATAGCAGCAATCAAAACCAACAAAAGAGCAATGCTATACAAGTGCTATATTATATATTTCATGCTTTGAGATAAAACAGGAGCATTTCATTCAGTGACATGGTATATTTTATTGGTCATTTTTTGGAGATGTGTGATACGATCGTCTACTTTAGTCCTCAGAGCTGGTCCTGTGATGTTCAGGCACCACCGCAGGACGGTTTTTAGGAGAGTTTAGCCGAGCCGGATGAAGGAATGCTGGGTAGAAGGGATCTGTAACATGTACGATAACTGAAATACAGGATGGACTCAACGTGCAGCTTTGACGAGCCAAGTGAGGTTTTTCAGGGAAACAGATTAAGAGAAGGAATCCTGGGATAGTGTGTGATGTGTGTGTTATCTGCGGGATGACGGAGGGGGAATGCGGTTATCCGGTTCTCAGGATGATGTGAACTCCTGAGTCGGTGAACACGGGGCCGCTCATGTCTCCGATCTCCAGCGCGAACGAGACGTCTTCAAACGGCTTCTGCATTTGACCTGACACACAGTAATACAGACAGCACACACAACCAACATTACAGTCAATTAAACCAACACCTTTTGTTTTTTACTTGAAACAAATGTTAACAGAAATGACATAACATCTTAAAATAGGTATTTTAATTTGTATAATTGTATAAAACGTTGCATTTCATCTACTTTCCAAGGCAACATTTCTCATTTTAATTTAGTTTGGTGAAGTACTTAAATAACAATCGTAAAAATCAATAAATAAACTACTAAAAATGATCGAAACGCATAACAAAATTACTAAAATATTAATAAAGATCTGTGATACAAAAATAACACCATTCATAATATCACTTTCCCACATCATTATGATTATTAACACTTAAAGCTGCACCGGTAACACTTTACAATAAATCCCATTAGTTGACGTTAGTTGATGCATTTTCTATTATTAACTAACAATGAGCAATTTGTTACAGTATTTATTAATTTTGTTACTGTTAATTAATATAAACACATGACTGTTGATTGTTAGTTCAGTAGCTTAAGTCCATTTAATAATATTAACAGATATTACTTTGGGTTTTAATATTGTATTGATTAATGTTGAAATTAACATTAATAAATGCTGTAGAAGTGCTTTCATTGTTAGTTCATGTTAACTAATGTTCAAATCAAAGGAAACTGTGCTGTGTAAGTGTCACTGCTGCACTTTAGTTTAGTGTTTCGTTTAACGCAGTGACTACATCAACACTGAATGCTTATACAACATTTACTCAGTGTTAAAGCATTCTGTCAGTGGTTTATTATGCGAGTCGGTCGGAGGGTGATGCTGATAATCTCGTAGCTCTAGTCTTACCTCTGCCGAACAAGCCCAGGTCTCCTCCGTTCCTCGCTGAGCTGCAGTCACTGAACTGAGACGCCAAACTCTCAAAGTCCTCCTGGCCAGACTTGATCTGTTCGATGTACTCTATACACACACACACACACACACACACACACATATACACACACACACACACGCACGCACGCACACGCACACACAAACACACACAGACACAAACAGACACAGGCTTGTGAATTCATACATGTACTTCACACCACACATCTACACACACACAAATGTGACACACTCTTACTTTGGATGAGCTGCAGCGCCTCCTCTTTGCTGCGTGTGATGTTCTCCTCTCTCCAGGAGGACGGCCGGCGCGACTGGTTGTGTTTGACCAGCAGGTGAGAGCAGCGCACTTTCTCCACCTCGCTGACGCCGTCGGGCCCCGCTCCGCTCGGCCGCTCCCACTGACTCGCATTCGTGATGTGATTGAAGTAATAAACCCGACCTGAGACACACACACACACAGACACACACACACACACAGACACACACACACAGACACACACACACAGACAGACACACACAG